ATCTGGCCCAGGAGCCTTATTGTTTTTTAAACTTGCCAATTTTTTCTTAACCAGCTCAGAATTACTGCATAACCTCTTGAACCTCCAAAATGCATATCTAGCATCTTTTTTCAGTATCCCTGTGTATTGTATCTGGTATTTACTCTCCTCTACCATGAATTGTTATTAAATCAGCAATGTAGGGTAAAATGAATAGATGATAGCTCTGACATCATATACTTAACACTGTAAAAGGTCGTGACATGCACACTTTGAACTCCACCCATGCATAAAGGAGTCAAACAGCACTTGCACTTCTTTTTTCACAGCAATACTTTTCTAATGAAAACAAAACTTAAGTTCATTTTTCACAATTCTTTTTATCTCATATGATGAATAAAACAGTGATTGCTAAGTCCATAATAACATCTTGCTATTTTTAATTAAAATATTCAAAGCTAATCCCATAATTCTGTAATTGTACATGCATTTGATCCTGAATTTAGAAACACCTCTGTAATCATAGTGCTGTATTCATTGAGTCCTTCTGTAATCATCATATTTTAAAAATGAGGTCCAGAATTGCATCTATAGTCAACATATCCTAAAAAAGGCCCTAAGTCATACCTAGTTACTTTATCATTATGTTAAAAGTAGCAATTTTCTAGTCTTGCACATGCAGCCACTTTATACAAAACATGAGTTAGTGATAATTCTATAATAATTTCTGTAAGTATTAAACAATATGTTTATCAGTAACTTATATTTTTTTTTTTACTTGTATTGCCAGGTGAAACATAAAAAACAAAAAAACATTTTATAGTATTCCATGTCTGAGAATAATTTGCTTAACCTATAAGGGTACTTCTTCATCTTCTCATGATTAGAAACTAGTGTGTGAATACTAAGCATGTAAGCTTAAAGTTCAAAATTATTTCTCCATTTCAGTTATAAAGAGATATTTTCAAAAATGGTAATACAAACACTTCTGTTTTTCATGCTTTTACATAGATATGAAATTGATGCTAAGTAAGTAAATAATTCTGCTCTGTAAAGAGCATTAATGAATAAGTGGTGATTGATGTCTTTGTGTGTGTTACAATTGTGTTACGATTACATTCTTGTATAAGCAGGGCTGAAAATACAGCTAACTGTTATTTCTTTATTAATATGCAAAAAAAAGAAAAGAATATTTCTAGAACATTACAAAACCTTCAGCAGATGCACACAACTATATGAAGCAGCTAATCTATAAGTCAGACCTGAAGCCAGAGAGGAAGAGCCAGTGAAATAATTATTATCCTACCAGAGAAGCGGCGTTAGCTCGGCTTTGGGCAGCCTTTAGCTGAGCCTGCAAATGAGGTGGGGGGTGAAAGTAGCGGCATGGGTCCCGTGTACAACGTCCCTTAACGAAATCCATACAGACCGTCACCATGCCTTCTGTACTGTCCACTGTCACGTGCTCAGGAGGGTGAGCGAAGCGGCACTCAGTTTCCACTCGTTTACAATTCCCACGCTGGAACTCTCGACATACCTACAGGGAAAGGGGAAGGAAAGTAGGTGGGGAAGCAGGAGAAAAATCTTTAAAAGACAAAGACAACCAGCCAGCAGAGACATAGATGGGGAAGTTTTTCTTTTTCTCTTTCACACAAATACACACAGCAAATCAAGAACAAATGCAGCACAGCATGCCATCTATTGCACCATGCATTTTGAAACATTGGCTTGGGCATTGCAAAATTCAATAGATAAAGTTTAAAAAATAAACAGTTGACACAATAAATACAAAAAACTTATGAATATAAGCAGAGAAATAAGTGCCCCCCCCCCCATGGTGTCTAGTCCAAAAACATCTGACACAATATGGTGGCACAACCGCTATAGTGTCAAAATTGATCTTTGACATCTGCATACATCTGAGTAATGAATGGCCAGTTATGTTATTATACTAAAACATGTTGGAGTTTTCCAAACATATGAAGAAAAAAATAATAAAATTTTACCACATATAAATATTGTTATATATTTTATTACATTGGTGTTGATTGTTTATTGAAAGTTTTTAATATGTCCAAAAAACATACCATCTACATGTTTTCAAACTAGTGTCATACATTTTAAAACTTACAGTATTAGCCACAATGGCTAAACAATGAATCAGACCGTAACTCAAATTTTAAGCCAGCATCAAGTAAATTAACGTTATGCTATTTTTGCAAACTTATTTAGATTTTATGCAACATTTTTCAACTCATATTATGTTTTTATATAACACACACATACACACACACACACACGCCAGTGCATACTGTTTTACACATTCCCAATAAAAAATACAAGTCCTTCTTTTTCATTCTAAGCTGGAAATATACTATTTTTTAATGAAAGTGATTTCTATCATAAAGCACATAAAAAAAAGAATTAAAACTTGAAGGAATTAAAATTAAGCATAGCACAACAATGAGCATGAAATCTGATTGAAAAACTAGGACTGTGCCCAGTTTTATAAGATATTTTTAGCTGTTTTGAGAAAATTTTGTATATTGATGTTGCTGTTAAATAAACAGTTCCACTTGCATTATTATATTTTCATGCATGATAAAATTTTGGAACAAACAAATATTTCACATGTATTACAGGTTCGTATTCATACCTTTTGGCAAAGTATATATATATACAATGCTCTTTTTCAAGGTTCAGATCCATATTGTATTCATTTTACATTTTCTATGATGTAATGTTTTAAAAAATGTAATGTTAATTACCATATATATCATATTCTGAATATTGTATTGATAGCTGTTATGTTGATCTACAACTACACCTATTCCAAGTCAATTATTTATATACTGGAAACTCACACACAGGAGTCATGTGTATAGTCACTAAAATATTATTATAAACAAAATGCAACAATTAAATATGTACACTATCAATCTTATATATACTTCTGTTGAACATTTATTAAGTTTAAGTATCTATATCACATTTGACATACCTCTAATCTGTCAGTCCGTTGCACTTTTTGTGTGGCAACGAGAGGAGTTGGGAGTACACTGAGTGGTGCTGTCATCACATCTGCAGGCATCATACTAACCATAGGGCTTGGGCTCAGGTAATGAGCAAAGGATGTAGCTGAAGCAACAGTGGGAAGAGCAGCCAAATACGGATTTGTTGTTGCCTTAAATGTAAAATTAGTTGTTAGATAAAAAAGTACTAATTCTAAGTTGAAATTCTACTTTAGTATGGTCTGATAAAATTGAAATAAATTTATATGTAAGTCTGTGCATTCAATCTTGAGGCCTTGAAAAACCCCTTTGAACCCCACTATGAAATTTTGAAAAGTTAAATTTGCATAGTTATTTTACATGATTCCTCATATGCATGCTAGTTCTCATATGATGTATATTATGTTAGAAGACTGTTTTGTTTGATTTAGGAACTCACAGTTATTGCTAGGACCTACAGTAATTAGTTTTATCTTTTTTAAATGGATGGAAAGTAGCTTATGCAGTTAACTGATTGGTTTTCCTCTATTGATATTAAACATTACTTTTCAAAATTAATAGTTTGATATTATAGTTTTCATATCCTTTTACTCAGGGGTGAAATTCTGCCAGTACTCACCAGTACTGAGTACTGGAACTTATTTTTTAAGATGGTACTAGTACCAGGACTTATTTGAATTGTTTTGTAATATTTTTTTGGTTATAGGAAGATTTTTTTTCTTTTTCAAAAAACAGGTCTACTTCACCCAGCTGAATGCCTCTACATTTTTTTTTTTGGGGGGGGGGAGACTTTACCTCTGTTTTATTGATGTTAAATGACATAGGTAATTCATCCCATTTAGTAGTAGTTGTCATTATTGCTATTAGCATATCGAAAATTTACTACTAGCTATGCTACTGTCAGTGTTTAAAGGTCTTACTTGTAGATTATTTAATGCAATATAATACAGTCAACTAGTTAGATCTTAGATAAAAAGTTTACATTTAAGATTGTGGTTTCCTTACATGCCTCTATTTAAGCTACTTTCAATATTGTTACGTCTCGGTTCGTTATTTAATTTTCCGTAACTTCGTTCCGACGAAACTTTAGCGACACAAGTCCTTTCTTAAATAAAACCGGTTTATTCTTTCCGAATACAACTTTAC